GTAGAGAGAGAGAGAGAGAGAGAGAGAGAGAGAGAGAGAGAGAGAGAGAGAGGGGCTCAGGCGGTTGAAAAAAGTGCTACGATTTTTGCTCTGCTTTCCGAATCTCTCGTAGCGAGAACACGCGAGATATACGCGAGATTCAAAGCTCGATAGTCACGCGATATTACGCGTGATACGTGACATGCTATCACGCGCATACGTTCAGTGAATTACGTTCAATCATTTCCGAAATGTGAAAACAGGTACCTGTAGCTTCATGTATAACCAACATTGTTGATTTTTTTCTCTCCAAGTAGGTGTTTGCAGGGCGAGGTAAAAAATCTGTGACGTCATGTGATAATAAGCTCTTATAAAATCTATTTTTTTTATATGAAATAATTTAGACTTTGGTGGAAAAAAATTGCTTGAGAAAGAACCGATTAAATAAAAACGTTGTATTTTAGAGAATTATAAGGGAGCTCGGAACTGTTCGTCTGTAATGTGTAATGTGTATAATCTCGTCCTTAAAATTATCCCTTACATACAATTTCTCGCGCTGAATCCGTGGATATACGATTTAATCCGATATACTTTGGTCATCCATGTACGCATCGGCTGGTTTGAACCGGTACTTGTAATTATTTATCTGGCAAAAAGAAAACGAAAGAGACTTACACCCCGTATTTTATATCGGGCGGTAACGTTTATGCAAATTTACGGGGAATTAACGTTAGAGAAAATGCATTAACGCTTTTATATGCATTTCCACCGCGTATATAAATCTCTGGTGTATTAAAATTAAAAATATTTGCGAACATTTTCCTTGGACTTACAGACATTCGCACGAGTTGAAATAAGAGATAAGTTTAAAATATTTTTTACAATACAATAAAACGATTTACAAATAATGGCGTAATTAAAAAAATATACGATAATTCAATCTTAAAAAATTGAAATAGTAAAATCATATAACAATAAATCATATGACAATTAAAATAATTCGAATAATTCGCGAATAATACGACGCGAGTCTTAGCATGAGGAAGTCTATTGTTTTTGATCAATTAATACATATCGCATCTTTAATTTCCACGACATCGCGAAATTCGAGACTGGAGGATTAATGGGAATCTTCTCTCGCTTACGCTACCACCGACAGCTGTTGCCCGTCTCGAAGGCGAGCGAAACGGAAAGAGTGAGACGCGTCGGGCGACAGAGTGCTCTCGGTGGGTAACGAATTGCAAATTAATAGTGAGCATTTACATTTCTGCCGGCGCAATGAAGGCGCACGTGAGGATCGAAAGTAGCAGGCACAGCGCGACGGCTTGGTTTTCCTGTTTTCCTTTCGCGACATCTTCTCCGACGCGTAGCTCGACGTCATATACATGTAAATCGTTGAAACTTTTTGCGAGATTTGTGCTTTGAAGAATTGTTTAAACAATTAAGAGTTTGTATTTGTTAGATCTTGCAATTGTTCGATAGATAAATAATTGATATTTTAAAAATATTAAAACATTTTTTTGAAGATTAAACTATTATATTTGTTATTGTTATTGTATGGTTGGTAAGGAATATTAGCATTTTAAATTGAAAAAGAAGAAGAGAGATGCTTATATATATATCTTATATCAATATCTATATTAAGATGTTTCTATTAAGTTGGCTGGTGTATCAAAAAATATTTGATATGATATTTAATTACTTTACTCACTCAAAATTATTTTTTAAGATTCTTCTATTTCAAGTAGAAATTTTTAGAATTAGGAAATTTAGAATCGTGAATACTTTTACACATGTACATGCGCAAATGGTCATCACAGCTACCTGGTCCGCCGATCGATTATTGTTAATTGCAAGTCGTGAAAACGAAAGAGCTCGAAAGAAAGGGAAGGAAAAGTGGCAAGAAGCGGGAGGGGTGAGCGGGAGGAGATTGGAAGGTACCGATATTGAATTAGAAGCGATAAATCCCACCCTGCCATGCCGACTTCGGTATTGGGGCAAGAGAGAGCATAACGGAATAAGGGGCGAGAACTTTGACTGGGTGGTCGCGAGTGGCGGGAACGGCGATAAAGAAGGCAGTGAAACGAATATTAAAAGTCGAAACTGATGTGATCGGGCGAGCCAATCAGTCTCTCGCTCACGCGACCTGATTCAGAGAAAAACTTAACAATACCTTCTTCTATCCCCTAATATATTAGAATTTAACGATTTTAACTGAGCCTATTGATAAAATTGATGTTAACGTTAATATGATATATAATTTTTCTAATTTTTGGAAATATCTTCGATATAATTATTATCCATTGTAATCACACATACAAACGCACAACACACAAATCTTAACACTTTATTACTATTTGTTTTTATTTGAAAGAATTAATTAAAATCGAATAAAATCTAAGAAAAATAAAACACACATTTACATATTGCAAAGAAAGAAATGATTTTCAATTGAAAATTGTAAAAGAGCAAAAGGATTAACGAGAGTACGATCCTCTTTGCATTCGCAGAGTTGCGTGCAGTTTCTACGATCCAACGAGTCCGCCGTTCTGGAGGCCGTAGGACTGGTACCGTCCGGCGAGTCCGTCGAGGTCTTCGGCGAGCACGGGGGTGCGAATGGGATCGGCGGCGGTAATCAGTGCTCTGCTCATTATGCCATGCGTTCGAATTCTAATCCCAGTGTCGGTGCCATTCAGCACGCGGCGGGCAGCAATGCCGCGGGCGCCTTGCACCATTATCCTGGCGCTGCTCATGCAACGAAACGCCGTGCCTCCGACACCCCGTGAGTGTGAATACCATCGGCATCGCGGATTGTACATCGCGGACGTACAGCGATTTTCAATCATTAGACAGATCATCATACTCGGCTACTCGAATTAATTACCTCGTGTCTTTAAATTTCTTCGCGTCTCTCGAGCCTGTATTCGACAACATCGTAATTTTGTAACTAGTCACTTATCTGTTAGAATTTAAAGGCAGAAATAATCATAATTTGTAAAAATGAACACGATAATTTTCTCTTCGCATGATCGACAGAAGAAAATAGGAAGAGAATACGACGAGTAGGAGCGTAAATTATCGCGCAAATTGTTGCGCTCCTCACGCGGCAAGATCGCGCGGAATCTTCGCTCGTCCATAACGATAATTTATGTGATAATAAACGCCACGCAGCTGCGCGTATATTATCACGCGCGTGTATTACGTTTGCCAAACCGCGAATGCCGTACTTTCGGAAAAATCTTGGCCGCCGGCCTGATTATCTCTCCGATATTTATCGAGATCGTATACCCATTAATGTGAACCTGATGCTTAACACTTCCTTGATACTGATAATTTATGCTAGTTCGTAAAATGTCCTAAAATGCCAATAAGAAATGTCAATAATTTTAAATAAAAATTTCATGTGTAAGATATATCAGATTTACATACATTAAAAAAAAACTGAATTTTTTTATAAAAATAAAATTAATATTTTCTTTTTAACATATCGAAATATTAATAATGTTTTTAAGTATCAATCATTGAATAGAAGAAAAAATATGAATAGAAGCAAAAAAAACGTTTTGATCGAAATTTCTTAATACGCCCACGTTCCATGTGTCATCTTTACTACGAATCGAGGTGTTGATGAAATCAACGCCGGATGGCCAGGATTTCCGGTCAGGATGATATGCACGTAGAGAGGTAGGAGAGAGAAGGGCGCTACGAATCGAATACGAAGGCGACAAAACGCGGTGTGCGCCCTGGCAATGCCACCCTGGCCTCCTCTCGATATGTCTGTCGGTGACGTTTCCATATATCATCGGGGCACCACCTTTCCCGAACACCCCACCGCGGCCCCGCGCAACCTGCTACCCCTTCGCCCACGAGTACCGACGAACTTGCCTCGAGTGCCTATTGGCATCCTGCTAATACACACCGCATCGTGGCGCACACGTGTCGACGAGCGTGGGTGTACACATAGACAGTCGTCTTTGATTCGTAAGCAATCCCTGCACGATGCTGAACGCTCAAACAATTCGCTGCTAAAAGTAAAAGCGTCCTATATATAACGAACAATGCCGAAGTTGAACAAAGTTAAGGAACATTCGCGTTTCGCGAATTAAAAGATATTACAAAGCCCGTAGTTCTTTAATCTTTCTAACATTTTTGATTATCACAGTATAATAATAATTGAGATTTTCATCTTGTCGAAATGAACGGTTAGTTTTCTTACATACATATTAATTTTCATTTCTACTTAATTAGCGAATTTTAACGCGCTTCAGATACTACGAGAACGGAGTTCTCCTGGACGATATGCCGGTGTACGGCAAGAGATCGGTCAATCCTTGGAGTCATCACCATCAACAGCAGCAGCAGCAGCAGCAACAGCAGCAGCCGACGGATCCGTCCTACTGCTGGTATCATCCGTTGCACTCCTCGGGCGGATCGATTCAAGGTCACGCGCACGGCCACGGCCACGGACCGAGTCCGGTGCCGCCTAGTCTCGTGCAGATTAATCAGATAAACGCGTTCTCCGCGCCGCATCATCTGACATCTCAGCAGCCGCAACAGTCGATGGGCCATGGATTGCAAACGCAAAACGGTGGCAGCCTCGACGACGAGTGGAAGAATATCCACGTGATGCTTAACTGCATTCTCGGCATGGTCGAGAAGACGAAGAGGGCACTGGCGATCCTCCAGCGACGAGGATGCTCCAGCCCGGCGGCCGCGGCGCCTCCGCCAGGTGTGGTCGCGGCGCAGAATGGTACCAGCAATAATGGCAATAGTAACGGCAATAATCCGTCGTCGACCAACGGGGTGCAAGTCGAGTCGTCCACCGGCGATCGGGATGGCAGTCTGAAACGATTGTCCGGCGAGATAGTCGCGCAAACGATCAGGGCGACCGAAGACAGAGTGGCCGAGGTTAAACGAAGAGCCGGTAGGTACTTGTGAAAATCTTTAATTGTATGTGATATGACAAAATTGGTTAAATTTTTTATAAAGTGTTAATTTTCCTAGACATTGAAAGATTTATTGTTTAAGATATGTAATAATTAAAAAAATAATTAAATAATACTATATGCTATCACAAAATTGTTTAAATTTTATGCAGTTATTAATTTTCTTAGACATTGAAAGATTTATTGCTTAAAATATGTAATAATTAAAAATTAATTAAATAATGATAATGATAAAGGCTAATCGGGAAACGGTTTCATTTGTTTCCTGTGCTGAGCAGAGGAAGCTGTGTTAGAGGTGAAAAGGGCTGCAGTGGCGGAGGTACAACGCGCTGTAGCGGTTGCGGTTGCGGAGTCGAGAGCGAACGAACGTTTGAGGGTTCATCGATTACTGGACCTTCCTTTGTCCCAAAGAAATCCGAGTAGTCTCCGTCAGGGTCCTTTCCTGAGGGTTCACGGGAATTCGAGCGCGGTCGAAACCAATGCCAGAAATGTTACGACACCGACGACAACGCCAAATTCGGCGCCGTCAACCACTGAGGACGAAAAAGATATCCATCTCACCAGCATGATGGGATCTGTAAGTATAGCTTTATGATTAATTAACTTTTACAAGTATATAAACATTGCAGATTATATGTGTACCTTTCTATTGTAACTAAAATAACAGAAATTCATTCTCATTCATGTTAATGTTAAATTTCTAGGAAATAAATATAGCTAATAATTGCTATACTAATAATATACTAAATAAATAATTACTTTTTCCATTAAATTTTTTTTCTTTGGCTATCAACTCTATATAATTCAAATTGACTTTAATTTTTCTGAATTTTATTATTTTCTGAGTTAATTTTAAATTACTTAAGCAGAAATTAGTGTAATTAAGTGCACGAATTCTTATTTCTTTTTCAGAGTTGTTGGAATTGCGGCAGGCCCGCTCTGGAGACCTGCGGTGGATGCGGAATCGCCCGATACTGCGGCTCTTTCTGCCAACATCGCGACTGGGAGGCCGGTCATCATACGACCTGCAACAATCTGCCGCCGCGCGAACCGCGAAGATCAGCCTCGCGCAGTCCACCGAGGATCGCCGCCGCAAATCTTTCTACGAATGTTAATGAGGTCGATGCCACGCCAGTGCCATCCACCGGAGTTTCAAAGGGAAAGTGACGTCGTGGTGCTAAGAATCAGCGATCGATCAGATCGATCGATTACGAGTCGCGCTGATCGTTTCTCACAAAGACTTTTCTCTGTAAAGAATGTATGAATTAAAATGAATCAAGAGGAACTCGTTCCTGTGAAATTGAATACTTAATTCTTAAAATGGAAAATTGATCTGAAATTGTTAAATTCGGTTGTTCCCTTTTCTGTTGCATTTCCATAAGACTTAAGATGAAAAAAAGAGGACAGAGAAAAGAAAAAAAAATCAAATTTTAATTTGATTGATAATTAGCTATTTACATGGTTACATGAGAAGTTCCTATGTTTAATTCTTTTTAATTCATTCATTTTCTACAGTGTTGTCACCGATCATACATCTTCTGCGTACATTTATTATTGTGTCCTTTTCTTTCCATGAAACTGACCGGAGATTTCTTTTGTAATATATCTGGATATATGAACGGACGAATATAAACAAAAATTTCTCAAATTTAACATAACGAAAAAATTAATTACGCGCTTGTCAATGCCTGACAATCGAGCTAGTATCGGAAAATATTGGTTCGATAATCAATTTATGAATAGATCTTTAATCTCGGCGTTTCGGTTAGTTGACAAAATAGAGGATAACAAAAAAATTTGTAATTATTTAATTAATGAAAAAAGCGCGAATATTCAAATCAACGACTTGACCTTATCTTTCAATTATGTAAAAATAATAATGTTACTCAAATAGTATGTACACAAAAATATGAAAGATGTCTGAAGAATTTAAAGCATCTTTGGAAAATTTTTGTTACTCGAGTGCAATATTTTATAATTTAAACGCTTTTAAATCAGTGCTAGTGACCAAAAATAATCAATGTTAAAAATGCACGATCGTACAGAAAAATAGATAAATTTACAAATAAAAAATAGAAAACTTGATTACACGTTTTGAATGAAACGTCGGATGTGATAAACCCGTTTTAGAATTTTGTCAACTAATTATATAAAAAAGAAGCAGCTGATTTCACAAGTAGCATAATCAATCACATAAGTGTTTGCGTTTTCCGGATAAATTAAATGCCGGCGAAATATGCATAGTATTGTCGTAAATATACACGTTTATCAGCATCGTGCCAGCCGTTCTCCTTTCTATTCTCCGTCGAGAATCGCAGAGATTTCCAATCCATTTATTATCTAGGATTAAACCAAACAATAGAAATAATGCGTGTCTTAAACGATTTCTGCATTTGAAAGAATAATAGTTAACCATGAATCCAATTAATGATCGCACAGATGTGCGTTTCGTATTGTTCTGAATCGATATTAGCGGTAAATGTAGTACTACGAAACTAACTATTAGTGTAGACGTTTCTTCATTTCGCCGTTAACAAATTGAATTTCTCAATATACGCGAAGCTCTCATCATCAAATTACAGCATTTTATTTTGACGTGATTTAAAAAATGCACTTCCTTTTTTATTTAAAAACAATTTCATAAAATGTAAAACTTTCATTATTATCGATATCAGTTGAAAATTTACAATATATGAAATGGTGCACACATTAATTTCTCTTTTGCTCCTCTTCAATCGAGTAATATGTTCTCTCAAATGGATGTAACATTTTACTATCTCGATATTATTACGCCGCAGAATATCGTTATAAAAATAATATGTATTGCAAGATGAAGTTGATATATACATGTACACACACACATAGTTACAATCCATATACGCGTACACACACATAAAGTGACTTGAGTTTATTACATGCGTTCGCTCACCTCGATGTTTCGTACACGAAAAAACGGAATCACATCGATTTTATCCTAGTCAATTGATAGATTTAACAACTAATGTAACTCGAATCCTTTACTTTGCGCGCACACATCTCAGGATATAATTATCACATATATTTAAGTCTAGTCAACACAGGAAGATGAAGCGGATTTATCGATCATACGCGTTAGGAAACTTTGCTCAAATCTAGACTACGAATTATTGTAATTTTTCCTAGGCATATTGCGTTGCGGGGATGTATGATGGATCCTATAAAGTGTATTTATAAACTAACGAAATATATAATGATTATTCTATGTCAGAATGTAAGAAGCAAAATCAGTAGACTTGTTTTTATTACATCCTATAAATTACATTAGAGGCAAAACGAATATTAAAGTCAGATAAAATGAATTTAAATCGTACAGATTTAATTATTTTATAATAAAATATAAAAGATACAATATTTTGTAAGAAACAATATGATTTGTATGGTACACATATAACAAATATGTAAATTTTGTCGTATTGTGGCATATATTTTTTACAGATTCTCTTTTTTCGGAGTTTTTTCAATCATATTTGCAAACATTGCTTTAATTTTCTGGTCTTTTCCTTGCAATTGCGACCACTCTTTCTTATCTTTCGCGAACAAGGGGACATTCAACTTCATGGAAATGATCTTGCCCGATTTCGTGGATCCTAAAGATTGTCCGTCCGCGGCTAATTCTTCCATAATAAGAACTTTTTGATTCATGCGTGCCCACGTCCACATCTTATCCAAGCATCTAGATCCGTACGTATTCTTAGCTAATTCTGCCCAAGTACCATGCAACTTTTTGCATAATTTCTCCCTGCTTTTTTCACCGATGTATTTGCTATCCATAAAAGCATCCAGAATTCGGCTGCCTTTTGGATCATTGAATACTCGTAGCAACTCCTCGTTACTCATCTCTAATAAGGAGTTTACAATTTTAATGGGTTTGTTGAATTTTAATATGGCTTGTACGATCAAACTCCCATGTAAGTGAATAGATGGTTGTGGACTATCAGATTCGATCTCCAGTTGAAATGGATTCTTTAATGTCATTATACACCGTACAAGTTGCGTTTGATTCTCCGTGGATACGTCACATTTTAGCAGTTTGATCATTGCATTGACAAATGGACCTTGATTTGTCTGCAATCTCAAGCATGCATTTCCAGTGCTGACTAATATTCCAGTAAAACCTCGCTTGAATATTTTTGAGAAGTGTTCGGAGACCTTGTTGAATATTTCTTCAAAGATCTCCTTAGTAATACAATAATCTAATAATTTTTGCACGCTAAAGTTGGAATTTTGTGCCAAACACAAAGATTCCATATTTTCAGCAAAAAAAGTTTTATATAATTTCTTAAAGGTTTTTGGCTGTGCTACTATTAAACAAGCCTCCAGAATCCTAACAGAATATTCTGAATTAAATATATTTGGTAGTGTTTCGTTTTCTTTTGTTTTAAAACATTCTGTTGTAATCTTCTTGATAATAGTTTTTATTAAATTTGGATCAATATCTTTCAACGAGAACAAGACACATTGCACCATATTAGAAGTAATTTGATCCTGACCAAACTCGCAGAATTTTGGCCATTTTTGTAATCGATCGCAACTTTGCATCAACAAGTCTTTGTAAGCTTGTATTACAGGACGCCTTTTTGTGAAATCCGGTACAGTAGATTTTTTGTTATTCTCATCAGAATACTCAATCAATCCTCCCAGACATTCTATAACTGTCCGTAATACGTAATTAGCATAACGGTCAAATACAAACTCTTCTATATTATTGAGAAAGTATCTACTCAGCTTCAGAACAATATCGTTATACGATTGTACTTCAGATGGTTTAACTTCTACAATAACATTTTCCGATTTTGGGCTTGTCTTATCAGTATTCTTTGCATTTAATGTAGGATCTTTGTTGCCTCTGTCAGCACAGATAATTATTATTTTCTGCAAAATGTGACTAGCAAATGCATCACAGCTTAACTTTCTTAGAGAGGATTCGAATGCCTGGGTCAGCTTCTGAATAGCCTCCAAACTGGCATACTTCAGCAAAGATTCTATCACACGAGATCCAATTTGGTTACATGCACATTCGACCTCGCGACCTGCTATCTCATCATAGACGTTCTGCACAAGCATCCTCTTCTCCTCGGACGAAGACAGATCATTGCGTATTAAATCAAGAATGCGAATCATATACTGATAGGTATTCTGGTCCAGTCCATTGTCGAAATTTCTCCGACGAGCAAATTTCTTGGCCATCTGCATATGAGAACGCTTTTTTTTCCGTTTCTTCGTGTTAATCTCGTGTTCTCCCGCCATGCTGTTCACTTCGATCAATCTATCGGATTTAGAAAAAATATAGGCTTCGCTCAGAGAAATCAACTTAACCTATATCGTTTCTTTTTCTCTTCTCTTACATATATATTTTAATAAATACCTCTCTTTACCTACCTGCCTTTATTGTTGTATGCTACTGTTTATGTAATTACAAATTGCAGAATAATAAAACGACAAATTAATAAAAGATTACATATAGAAACGCACTACATGAATACGGCACACGTGGATACATGCTTAACTTGATTTGCTTTTCATGACCTAACTTAATCTAACCTAGCTCTAAGCATTTCCTCTTTTCTTATCGATAAATTTCATATCTACTATTGGTAAATTACATTTCTATTGCTATCTTGAAAAGTATACTTGCTGTTGTAAAGCAAGTGTACGCGGCAAAATGTTGCAAAAACTACTGCGAACTGTAGATCAATATGTTTTTCTCTAATATTACAAATATATTTTTACTTTCTAATTTCACTTTTTAAAACTTCTTAAAACATTTACAGAATTTTTGCATTTCAAATTTGTTTCCGACAAAAATCAGAAATTTGCGCGGTCGTTCTGTGCGATTATCCAATAAACATATTAACTAACAATGACACTATATCAATATTATAATTTTCTACTTCATAATGTAACTGTTATGTACAACATGTGTTACATTACACTTATATGTACATATTTATTGTTGAATGTGATATTATAATGATTGTAAATACTGCTGTCAATTGATGTTTATTTGGTATGTAATATTTGGTACAATGTACATTATATAGATTATGAATATTGTAAAATTAAATTTGAGAAAGGGAAGAAGAGAAAAGTGACTCTCTTGTCACTTTGATTACGTCATCTTAATCTTTGATTTTATGTCAAATCGCATTGCTTCGATCTGCACAATATGCAGTAATCTATTTAGTTATAGATTTGCGCATTCATTGGGTGGAATATCGATATCACGAATAGATACCCGTATTTGATTTCCATATTTGAAAATCGAGAAACTGTATGAACTAAAATATTACTTAATTTATTTAATAATTTATTTATTAATTTATTTCTTGAAATTTAAAAATTGATAAACATATGATCTCTTGATTGTTTTAATGGTATGATTTATTTTAGATAGTGCTTCTATTAAATATAATTTTTAATTTTTGATATTTTTATTACAAAGACAAACCATTAGACAGAACTATTTATTTTACTGCGAAAAATTTGTATATATTTTGTTGTTTGATTGAATTATGAGAAAGAGACTTTTATATTAATTTTCCTATATACAATTTTCATTTAATAATTTTTTAAAAGCATCTGTTTTATAAAATCTGAATATAAAAAAATGAGAGGATGGCATACTTAAGAAATAAAAAATAGAAATAATCGATTTACGATCAAGATAAGATATTAATTTAATTGTATCGAATAATTTATAGCAACTTTTAAATAGGTAATGACTTTATATAGTCAGGTAAAAATTTTTTTATTTTCATGAATTTTTTTATAATAACATTGATATAATAATAATACTTGAAATAAAAATGGATGTCAAGCAAGTTTTAAACCTCGTTCCTTGAAATTGTAAGTACAAAGTTATATCTCTCGGCAATCGATTGTACATTTTCATTGTTCATTTCGCATTACTATGCAATGATCTGAGCTGGCAGAAACGGGAAGGTGTTGTAGACGTACACGGGTCGATTAAATGCGAAGGAATTCGCGATCGCTAATGCTGGATTCGTCGTCTCGAAATCGTCCTCCGGCTGTTCGTTGGTCGCGGTTGTTGGCTCCCTGTTACGAGGTGTCGTCGTGGTTTTTACAGTAGTGGTTCGTGGCCGCGTTGTCGTGGTCGTGGTGAATAACGGATCGCGATAGGCAGTTGCGGTATCTGGGGGTTCGTAGCTTTGTAATCCCGGGGCACCGTAATACGCATGCAATCGATTGTTGTTGGGATTAAAACGCTGGCCATTAGGACGCCAGCCCCTGGGCTTATATCCCGATAAATCTGATGTCGCGGCCAGTCCGATATAAAGAAGGACGAGGATGAGCTGGAAGAAAAATATAGAATCGATTTAAATAAAGCGACAATGGCGGTGCGACAATGCGCGATCGAACGCGCTCGGGTAACGTCTGGGAGTTATTTTCGATCATTTATTCAGTTTAGTTATTCATTTATTTCGAAAATATCGAAAATTATCTTCCTTCATTCATGATTCCTCATTTATTCAGAAACTACACACGTTTGTGTTTTTAAAATAAAAGAGAATAAAATATTGAACTTCATAATCTTTTCATTTTTGGAGATGATGAAAGAATTTAAAATGTATTAATTTAGCAAATTTAATAGATTTAATAGAATTGAAATGTATTTAAAAACTTATTAGAATGTGATACATAATATTATTTAATTTTTATCTTTTTAATTTTTAAAATAATTTTTTTTTAATTAAATATATAGATTTCACGCGCACTTTAATAATAATTCATCGTTATGACCGTTTTATTCACAATGCAAAGCAATTATCCATTTCTCATATCGATTCGCCAGCAGCGGATTAGAAATCTTGGCAAAAACATTCGTTATTGTTGTTGCACTACTATCATTATCCGATCGTATTCTTCACAGTGGTCTTCGACGTGTCAGATCCGCTGTTAACGAGATAATTTCTTCGACCACAAAAGGCACGTGTTAAATATCTTTCCATTAAATACGGAAAGCAAATACTATTTTACCGTCTCTCTCATTTTCGATGTTAATACAGCTGCTAAACGCGCACCGAAAAATTTCGGACTGATCTTTGTCGGGCCGTCGATTCCGTCTTTATATGCGAAACGAGCGTGCGATGTATGAGATCGGGCGCCTAGGCTCTGTGAATACGAAACAAGGTGAAGACGAAAACGATTTCGTATTTCGTTTCCCTGCCGTTTCGTAATGCGATGTTACCCATATTACGTGTTAAGAATGTACGCGAATGTACGGCGAAGTGACGTCTGTCGTTATATTTGGGATATACGTCAATTTTATGTCGAGCATACGGTCCAGTTGGTTTCGTTCCGCTCGAGGGAACGGAACGGATACATAAAAATCGTGGGATAAGACGAGTCAAATATGTCGATCGAGCGTGTGTGCCTCGGTACATTTGTATTCTCCATAACTGTCTAATTTTTATATCGGAGTTTTCGCGGTGTTCTTGGCCCGTAAACAAACAGCGATAATACTGTGCCGTCGTAATGGAATATATTCCGCGGTACGTTACTCGCCGCATGGTAAATTAGCGATTTGAATGACTGATAAACGCTGCAAATGCTGCGTAGGAATTTACATGGTAGCTGCAATAGCAGCGAATTTTCTGAGAGGTACAATACACTCGAGTTAAGTACATAGGGATAAATTATCGCGTTCTTCCTGAGAGCACACTTCTGGAGTTCATGATAAATTCGAAGCTAAAAGGAATGTTAATTATATTAAAGAAATATCAACTTTATCGATTTATACACGGAAAAAGTGATGACTAATGACTGTTAAAACTATGCTTGCTGATGTAACCAAATAAATTTGTTATTATATCAAAAAGATTTGTTGCTAAAAACACAATCAATATGCATTGACATTAACACAGTAGCAAATTTGTTTAGTTGTACATCAGCGAACATAATTTTGGCAGTCTTATCAGTTATTAGATGTAATTCAAAATATTCATAATATTTTTTTGTGATATAAATAAACTATATTTTTACAAAGGAAAATTAGTTAAAAGAATAATAATGATATAAGGCACATGCGTTCCTTGATGAATGTTGAATCAATATTCTTCATCATCAGATGTTTTAAGCATAAAGTGCGAGAACGCATTCATTGTAGTAGCGGGTGTTGTAATGGCTTGCGTGAATTAAAGACGTGTCTTGAATTTAAGATCGTGCGCAACTGTAATGCATACCCTATGAATTTGCAAGATCGGTGGACGTTGCTCGTTCGCCTACATGAATCCGCTCGAGGCGATCCAGAAACGTGGCGCGAGAACTAATCGCCGGATTGACAGTGAAGTTGAGCGATGACGTTAATTAGGATTCTGAGTTGTCCACGTTTAACTTGCCGACTGTCATGTGTCATCGATCGCACATAACATCTTGTAATGTACGACGCTAGCTTCTGATACTTATTACCCGTCAAAGTTTTTATTTCGTCGAATTTACGTCATTTGCGTAAATCTCTATTTTATTAACAAACTGTAAGTCACTGTAAGCCTTAGACGGATATATTTTAATTAAAATTAATTTAACTAAATAATTTAAAAAAAATAATTAGATTAAATTAATTTAGTAATATAATTAATTTAATTAAATAATAAATAAATTCTTTAGCATAAATTAATCATTTCTTTCTTCAATTTTTTTTGCCGAAAAGATTATTAAAATATAACTTTCTTTATTTTTCAAGATACAGAGATGTTTGTACAAGAGGTCTGTAAAATTTTTGTCTGCATATATTCGTCTGCAGATATTCATTGCAAGTAAGAGGAAGTATAATTTTTATCTGGAAAATTCTAACGTCCAACTTACATATTTGCGCGACGAGAAAGATAAATAGAAAAGACGAGCGCGCGGCGCGCTATCACGCGACTCGCAAAATCGAGATAACAACGCTGTCGCAGACAGACGGCACGAGTGTTGGGTTGATCGAAAGCATGCGATATAATAGCCCGCGCGTCGAGAGAACTTTTGTTCTCTGATTGAGTATATCAAGTATTCTGGTCGAGTAACAAGTGGTAGACGCGTCCGTCATGTCACGCGTCAAATGCAGCGTATTATGCGGCGTTCATTTCCATGGTTATCTAAAAACAAACGCCGAGGTTATCTTCTCTCCGTTGATGGCGGATTCGTCGGCACTCGTAATGGCTTTTCCTATTCATCGATGCGCGCGTGGCGGAACCGATATAGGCGAAACTTTTACGTATATTATTTTTCGGCAAGTTGAACATTTGAAGGCAATCACCACGATGATATTTTTTTCGGGGTATTTAAAAAAGATTAAAATTTACATAACACAGGAACGTTTAATAGAAAAAAAATAATTTTTGACAAATGAAAAATTGTCTCGTGACGGTAGTCGACAAATAAAAAACATTTGTCAAAACGTAACAAGCATATTTATTTTTTCAAGCTACTAGACAAGCATCAGGTTTTTGTACAGCACGTTTTAAACGTTTGAAATATGAGGAATTTGCGCAATGTTTTGCGATCGTTTATTTATTCATATTTAAATATGAATTCGTTTATTTATTCATATTTAAATTGCTTTAAAATATATTTTAAAATTCTATTGAAACACGTTTGTTCTACTATTTGTTACTATTTGTTAATTTATATTCACATTTTGCATTTTTCACAATGTTTGTTTCACAATGTCAGTTTGTCATTTTTTTAAATGTTTGTATGTAATGTTAAATAAGAGACTTATTTTATGATTTATTAGTAAAGTTGATATACAGAAAATGAATTGTTTTCAATTAAAACAAATTTAACGCATCTAGCAAAATTATTTGAGAACATTAAATATAAATATAAAAATTCGAATAAGTTAGTTTTCACTTATAAAAATTTTTAAGAGAACTTCTTAAGAAAAATTAATCTTTTATTTAAATATATAAGAATCTCACTGCTAATTTTTAAAAGTACTATGTAGTGTTAAATTCCCTTTTCTGGCATAGTAGCATAAAGTTAATCTTGTTGGAGTAATCTCGCGTTCCATTTTACGGTAGAAGTACAGTATCAAAGTATGTTACTTGTTGGCAAGAGAGTTCTCTTTCGTGAAAAAAAAAAAAGATTTAATATACTTACGATTTTACGTCCATGTAAAAAGCGGGTAATTTCCATTTGTGCACAATGTGGGATTAATTCTTTTCTTAGGCATTTATTATAACGTCTCACTTAAAAGATGTGTAAAAATAACACTGATAAAAATTGGAGTACAAATATAATCACATTGTTCGAAAATTCAATAGTAATAACAATTGATCATATTTATGTCTATTAATTATTAAGCTACTGAGTTAATTGATGAGTTTCTGGAATGCCATCGATATCCTTCTCAATCCTCTCAATTTCTTCACACTGAGCCTTCTTTCTCGCATCTTGTCGTCTTTGTTCGTCTTTCGTTATTGCGGTCAAGATGAAGCCGAGCAGTAGAGTCAAGCATAAGCCGATGTGCACCGAAATATCGCCATATGCGTTCAGTAATAATCCTAATATTATAATGAGTGTAATGCCGTAAATGCTGGTCGTTATATTGAGAAATCCTGCAGGTATATTCTCCGATTCTGGATACGTAAATTCGGTGCACAAGTCAAATCCCAATGCCAGATATCCAGACATGAAGTATCTACAAACAAATGATACTAAAAATGTAATAAATATATTATATTCTTAAAAAGTTATAATAAAATTAATAATGTTTAAAACAAGATCCCAAACAATAAACGTTAACAAAATAAAGAGACTTATTGTATTTGATTAAATAATCAAAAGAGAAACTTTATTATCTACGTATTTCATACCCTAAGAAAATTGCCGACACGTATACCATCCATTTTATGCCGACGCAAATGGATATTGCGAATAGTATTTGACCACAAATTGTAAGAAAATATACTACCAGAGCAGTTTGTCTAGAAATATAAATTATTAGTCGATATTTTGTGTATTTCTTCGAGTATATAATTTAAAATACATGCTGTCAAAATCATTTAAAATTTTTAAGATAATTGTAAATATCTTTCTTACTTGAACTTATGTGTCTTATCAAGAATGATACCAAAACTAACGGAACCGGCCAGACCGGTAAGAATTATAGCTAAACCAATTCTGCCTGCATCTTCTTCTCCATTCTACAACAAATATATGTCATATATCTTTATTTGAAATATATTTCTATGTAATATATAAAGATATTTTCAGATATTTTTGATGTAAATTTATAAAAATTTGCTAAAATTTTTTTTCTTTTCGTGTTCAATCTGCTGCATCGAGATTCATTGGCTTACCTCGAAGTGCGCGAGAAATATTTGATTAAGCAATGTAGATATAGCATTCAGCACGGCGTTATTCAAACCATAAGAATTACAGAGCATGATGAAGTTTTTATTTTTGCTAAGCCTTTTAATCGATGCCGCAAATTCCTTTCTTTTCTTCGTCTGATTTATTTTTTGCAGCGCTCGCGTCTCGCTCGGCGGTAGTTTTGGCTTGTTCTGAAATACTGACGTAAAAGCACATTCAGAAGATTAAAACGCGATAATCTTTTTTAGAGCGCAAGCGATCTTTAATTAATTAGCAGTTCATCTTCTCGCTATTGAGAAATAAAAACAACCCGTATAAAGAAGCCGAGATTAAAATAGATTATCGATTGGAAAATTTAGCTATGTTGAAAATCTGATAGATATATTAAGTAAGTTACTTTAATTAATACTTATGAGATTATTTTAGTTTAACGAATAATGATCGCTTAAAAGGGATAATCAAATTATATTTACCAAAGTTAACATATGAATAATACAATATTTAAATGAAGATACAAATTTTTAATTAATAGAGAGAAAACTGTATATACATATATATATATATATATATATATATATATGTATATACAAAATTATATATATAATATATATAATATATATATAAAATTAATTTTTTATTATTTATTATTTAAGTTAAAAAATATCTCTTACATTTAAGAAATTATAAAGAAACAAGAGAAATTATACATGATTAAAGTTTAGATTTGTTTTAATTATAAGAATTAAATAATTTTATGCGATGGATAATTAATTACATGTAATACTTACATATGAGCACAAGAAGCAATAGAATTGTGGAGACGATTGCAACCATCCAGCATAAACATAATAGATCATTGCCGATGTCATTTATGTTGTCGTGGTTTCTCACTATTATAGGTGGTAAAAGAAAACCCAACGCTATTCCTAACTGATAGCCGAAAAGACCTAATGACGTGGAGGTTGAGAGTTCGTTGGAAGGAAACCATTGCGCGGCCACGCGTCCTGGTAATGGTAAGACTAAAGTCTAATATAGAATAATTATCATTAAAAGAGTATGATAGTGTAGGAATATAATAATTAAATAATGATAAAAAGGGAGACAGAAAAGAAAATGTTAAGATCTTATAAAGAAAATTAAAAAAATAATCAAGAATAAATCAAGAAATAGCAAGAACCTGCGCGATTCCGACTATCGAGTGACCGATGAAAAGGACATAATATCTGTCAGGTTGAACCGAAAAGATTTTTATCCAGGCGCCTAGGCAAGTTAAACCGGCACCTATGATAATCGTCCATCGCAGACCGCATTTGTCCGTCAAATATAATGCTGGGAATATGAATGTCGCATAAAATAACATGAACGACATCGATGTCCAGTCAACCATTAACGAAGATACTCCATAGTATCTAAATAATATATAAAAATAGCTTTTATATTGAATACTATGCATTTTCAGGTAAATACGATACCTAGTAACAATGTTAGTTATAATCGAGTATTCTATCCACTGGGAAGAGTTCGTTCCAGTATAAAATATATAAATGGCCAGCATCAACCATCTTTTTTTATACACTTTTAATTTTATCGGTTCATTGTTAACAGGTTTCTCAGATTTTGTTATTTTTGTCGGATTTTTTACGAGTACTTCGCTCAGACTTTTATCTTCTATCGTCATTCTCACTGTTTGGCGAAATTACGTTTATGAAATATTTTTGTTATGTGCTTGTTTGAGTTAAAAAAAAATTACAATTTTAAACCTGTATTAACAAAAAGATAGATTTTACTAATTTAGCACAATTTTTTTAATAAATGTATATTATTTTAAAAATTGTAGAATTATACAAATTATATTTAAGTCAATTCTAATCACACTATTAAAAATTTACTTATAAAATTTTGAATAGCAATTCTTTAAATGTAGCAAATACTTTAAATGTACAAGTCATAATTGTATTTCACATTTCAAGATTTTTCATATTTTATATGATACAGATAATCATTTCAAAAAAGCGCGACGGTGAAGAAATGGAAGTTGATCGAAATTAAGATGAAATGTAACTGCGCTTCGTGTATAATTCTGTTGGAAAGATAGATTCGTTTAATGAATTTACCTTATCTATATATGAACAGTGACAATAGTGACATTATTAATTCAAAGACTTAAGGCACTAACTGTACTTAGTCTTATCACGATTTTTATCCCTGATTCGGTTGCTGAGTTTTAGCACAATTTTAAAATAAGTCGTACGATAGCACGCCTTGTTCACTCTTTTCTTCGCCTGTCCATGGATTCGCTCTTAGGATCCACGGTCGCCGAGAAAATCGGTGCATATTCTCTCTCTCTCTC